AAAATTTTTGCGATAAAATGTATCGCTAGTCAGATTTATCGTTAATCGATGCCATCGCTGGTCGAGGGTCCACTGTAGTCAGACTTGAGTCCTGGAAATGGGAAGTACAATGCCTGCACTTTAAAGGAGGGGTTTGGGATATTGGCAGTTTGGAGGGATATGTTGTGTATCTTTATACGTATATGCTTCTGAACTGTTGTATTCTGAGCACCTCTGCAAAAGCAGTGATAATGTGCGAGTGTGGTGAAAGTGTTGAATGATGATGAAAGTATTTTCTTTTTGGGGATTTTCTTTCTTTTTTGGGTCACCCTGCCTCGGTGGGAGACGGCCGACTTGTTGAAAAAAAAAAAATACACTTATGCACATTAAAGTGTCATGGGATGAAATGCCAAAATCAACTCTAAACAGCAGGTGGAGACATTCATGGAATTTTATGGTGTATGATTTTTCAAGCTTTTCAAATAATGTGGAGTCCATTGAGAGAATTATGAATATGACAAAGATTGTGAGAGGTGAGGACTTCAAGTATTTTGTGAAAGAAGACATGCTAGGCAGTTTTTCTCAAACTCAACCTTCCTGATTCATATTTATCTAACCTACTTTTAAAGCTACCCATGTAACCTACTTTTAAAGCAGCCCTTGTAACCTAATTTTAAGGCTACCCATTTTTTAATTTAGTAAATCTGCATGAAGAGAAAAGCAGCAACAAGAACAAGAGGATGAGGAAAAGGATGTAGAGAAACAGCTTGCACTAAAATTGATACACAAAATCTTGCCTATAAGCAAGATGGCGGAAGTCTTAAGCTTAAGCAGTGTTTACAGTAACTGACATAGCCATATCATCAGATGTTTAAATGAATGTAGAGTAGCACAGAGAGGTGCACTGCAGAATGTTTTGCCATTCTAGAACAACCATCAACTACTGATAACTCTCCATCAACATGTACCCAAAAACCACAGCTATCCCAAAGGGTCCAGTAAGCCAACATCAATAACTCCTTTACAAGATAACACTGCCATCATGGTCAGGTAAGTGGTACTGTGCATGACTACAATTTAAGCTACAAAACAAGAAGAAAATGGAATGGACTAACTGATATTTTTGGACTTTAACCCAATTTTTTTTTCCAAATATTATACGTTTCATGTAGGATGAATTTAAGGTGTGACTGAGATTTTTAGAAATATAATTCTTGCTCTTTGAATATTCTCCATATACCTGTATATATGGTACTAATTCTTGCTCTTTGAATATTCTCCGTATACCTGTATATATGGTACTGTACTATAAAATAAAAAAATGAATATCTAACTACATGTCATATATCAAATGCTGTTCATGCAAGACTCATGAAAGAAAAAAATAAATTATTCTATACTAAGTAGCTTCACTAACCAAGTGGCTACCCAGCAGGTATGACCAACTAAGCTTATCACTAACCTGTATGTGTAACTACTGGTATATAAAACTATATTTACATTACTGGCATGTTGTTTACAACCTCAGTGGGTAAGTGAAAGGGCTTCGAAACTGAAGACTTTGTCGTTCAGCCATACTGTCAAGACTTTTCTCCTGTGCTAATCTAAAGTGGTCAAACTCTTCATACTCAGCTGGTGGTTTCCAAAGGCATTCAGTACTGTATAAACACTAATAAATATTAAGACTGACAAATAATAATAAAAAAAAATAAAAAACATAAATGTAATAAAGCCTTAATTCTCAAATAATTTTTTTTTTAAACAAGTCGGCCATCTCCCACCGAGGCAGGGTGACCCAAAAAGAAAATACTTTCCTCATCATTCAACACTTTCACCTCACTCACACATAATCACTGTTTTTGCAGAGGTGCTCAGAATACAACAGTTTAGAAGCATATACGTATAAAGATACACAACATATCCCTCCAAACTGCCAATTTCCCAAACCCCTCCTTTAAAGTGCAGGCATTGTACTTCCCATTTCCAGGACTCAAATCTGGCTATATAAAAAAAATAAATATACCAAACCTAAATATGCATTCAATCCTTATATAGTAATGTAGTTAAAATATATAACTGTCTTTTAATAAGAGTCTGGTGTCAAGACTAATTTTTTAGTACTATATTATTTTAATACACTGGTCATCTCCCACTGAGGTAGTGTGACCTGAAAAAAAATACATTTTTACCATCATTCACACTAGTACTATATATATCTACTTTTTTTAAACTCATATGCAAACAAGAGACATTGGAAAGGCTTTGTCAAAGTCTGCATTTTATTCTTCATATTATTTCTGTAAAAATTTATCATCAAATTCAAATATTAAAGCAGGTACATTGTCAAGTTGTATGACTATTGCCATACCATCAAGCACTGTCCATCCATACAATAAAAAAAACTTGAAATTTTTCCTCTTTATTTGGTTTCCAGCTTTTTTGTATTCTGTACCTCTCAGATGTTTTCTGGACAGCTCAGGTTATAAACTCAGTTAATGGGTGGCTATTTAAAGCTCCAACCACTGGCCTGCTTGATTTGAGAAGAGGTGATAGTAATTGATGCTGGCAGTGCATGTGGATCCATCTATTGGTCAGATATTGAACTAGTTTCAACTGGCAGACTGACTGACATCATACAAATACAGCATTCAAAATTTATTCCAATTATTCATTCCAACCATGCAAACAATGCAAAGCTGCAGCAGTGATATGATCAGTATGCACTCTTGAATGTATAGTACTGCATAATATACAATTCTTTACTTCAAGTACTGCATGCTGAAAACATACAATAGTTTGAAGGCCCGTAAGATGTGCAGCATTTCGGGCAATGTTGTAAATGTGTACTGTACTTTTAATGCTCTCTTCTACTGCAGATGTACAGCATATTCTGTACAGTAATGTATAAGTTGGAAGAGGAAAACTACAATCATTGGTGAATATCTGTTGTATCTGTTGTGAGTATCCATTTATTGTTTTGGTGCAACATTTTGTCTTGCCCAAATTCTTCCACTCCTTGTAACAATGTTTGGAAAAATAATGTTTGACTGTAGGTAACAGCTTTTACAATATACTGCACACTCAAGCACATAAGACAGTCCATGACTCACAAGACTGTAATGACATGACAGCACTAAATGTGAAGGATATCATACAGTGCATGTTGTAGAATCATGATGAACTTTAGCGTGAAAGAATAATATTTCAATATTTTATAAAAATGTTGTAAATGTATTACTGTGCAAAACACAGTACAGTATTACATATTTCAACCTTTGTCAGTGTAGCCATGATGATCAAACCAGTCTTCTAAGAAAATGGGCTTTTAGAAATGGCTTTCCAAATGTAAAAAAAAAAAAAAAAATCTACATAAGCTCTTAAAGGCAGCTTTGTTTTTCAGCCTATAAAGTAAACAGAATATCACTTTCAAGTGAATCACAGCCATTTATTTCACTTGCCACTGCATATACAAGACTAAAAACATGTTTACGCTATCATTTATTAAGTGCACAGGAGCACTAAGCCTAAAAAAAAGCGATACAAAAGTAAATAAATAAAAAAAAATTGAAAATGGATGAAAACAGTCTTAAGAGCAAGACAAGCAATGAAAATAGTAACCATGAATATAACCAAAGAGCCCTGCACTAGCAAAGCACTCTAAAGCGAGTGCCGTATTAACATAGTATGCCTGCCGGAGGTGTTCAAGGAATCCAATTAGCGAGACTTTATTGAAATAATCAACAAATTTTAGATAAAAATTGAAGTACATATGTATGATAATGTACTTGGCTTGCTGCCAACAAGAATGAAGAAAAGACACTGCAAAATGGGCTTTTACTGGGACATTTCAATCTGACAAGATGTTATCAGAGTGAAACATCCCAATAAGAGCTTGCTCTGCAGTGTGCTTTTATGTTCTTTCAATATTTACTGTCTCAATTATATTGATGTACTGCCTATCAGGCTTTTTCAAGTTCATTTTTTTAATTTTTTTTATCTGAATCAGTTAATTTATGCTAGCCTAATCTACTCAAAATTGACATGCTTAGCTAAATAAATGAGGGAAAAGAACATCTGAAACCCAAGGTGTAATGCACCTCTAAACATGAAATTAAATTGTGCTGACGGACTATACAGTACTGGGTTATTCTAAGTTACACCTGCATACTGTACTTTTAGGCTGAATTCTACAGTCAGTATCATGATTCTGTAATGAATTTGGAATAGATAACACATCTTCCTATCAGTTCCACATCCTGTTTGTTTGTAGGGAAGCTGGGGGTGGAACAACAAGTTCTGGTTTCATTGTTTACTTATGCTAGTACGTATAGTGTTACCCATGATGCACTATGTTTACCTGTCTGGTCTTTGATTTTTTCAAAGGCTTGAAGAGGTTGAGACCCAAACAGTTGGCATGGAGGTCAGAAAATACTGGCAGGTGGCACATTTGAAGCCACAAAAAACTTTGCATCCTAGTACATTGGACACAGTTCTCATCTGCTTACTAGTATGCTTGTCAAGTTAAAGGGTTAACTGATAGCAAACAAAATTTCAGTAATAATAATGTACATACCATAATAAATATCACATTACCGAAACTAATCAAGAGGAAATGTAACTTACCAGCTCAATTCTTATTACTGCATGTCCTCAAAAAATGATTACAAAAAAAAAGACCTTCCAATATTTTTAAATACTGTACTGTATATACTTCTCTCTTCCATTTATATTATAATTACATACATATGCATTAACCCGTAAACGGTCCAAACGTATATATACGTTTTTTCAACATTTGAAAGTACGTAAAAAAGTAGATCTTTTTGTTTTTTTACATTTGAAAATGTGTAAAAAAACTTTGATCTACTTTTTTTTTTGTTACATTTGAAAATATGTAAAAAACACATAGATCTACTTTTGTAGCACTACACATGTGAACGTAGATCTGCTTGGACTGTTTACGGGTTAAACTTAAAAATGCATAAATGATCAGTGAGACTGTCAAAAAATGGTACTCTTACCTTTTGCTGTGCTCCGAGGTTGGGGACTTCCCACTTTCTGATGAGCTTTCACTCTCAGCCCAACTTCGAGCACTTTGAACATCTAATCCTGTTTGAGGCTTTTCTCTGGGTTTACAGGCTCCTTCATTTTCACTGTCTGTGTCACTCGCAATTGATTTTGCTTCCCCTCCACGGAGGGGCTTTAGATCATCATCAATTCCATGCTCCAGTGGATCAGGGCTAGTCGCTCCAGAGCCATTTTTGGAATCTGATTTAGAATCTGACTCATCAGAATCAAGTTCAAGCTTTTTCTTCACAGAACGAAGCTTTGTGATCTCCTCAGTGCTCCCCATTACGAACTTTTTGTGGGGTAATCAGCACACCTGACTGAAAATAAATAACTAAATAAGTCAACAGATCAAATTCTCTGTACATATTATAAATTATAAGATATCAAACACACAATACTATGGATTACCCTCAACGTAAGCAAATGTTCCTGACATAAAAGGATACTGTATTTCAATTAAACACAATAAAGTACCAGTACTGTGAAATTACAACACTCCAATTTATGCCACTGACAAACCTTATATAGTAGCCTGCAGAAATCTTACTTCTTATGTGGATGCTATTTAACAAGTGCCACATTAAGTGACAAGCATTTCTTTACCTTGCAAGCTTCAATACCAAAAATTATTATCATACATTCTAATGCATTGTAATAGGATTAGGGTTAATTCCAAATGGAGTGATCATTTGCACAGCTACTGTGTCAAACAAACAGTAATTTCTGAGGAAAAAAATGGCTGATCCAGCTGCCTATTAAGAAAAATGCGTAAGTGATCGATTTACACCTGAGCTCACATGAAATGCTGCTACCTAGTCACACACCCACTCTGCCAATAGCCAGCAAAGTTTACTAAGAGCCACATTAAATATGGGTCTCTCTTTTTGTCTATTATACTACTTTTGTGAGCATCAGGCTCAAGGCAACATAAAGATAATGTGTAACTTTTCCAACTGGCAGTGTAAATAAACCATATTTACACAATTCTGTCAATTTCTAATTCATTTATATGGTACAGTATTCAAATCATTACATTTCACAATATATGTTTATCTGCCTTAACAACTGTATTAACACTTTACTGGGGGGAGGTGAGTCCTAAAATTTTAAATGTGAAGGGCATTCCTGAAGTCCCATTCTGTATAATTAATGGATGAAATTGGCTGAGAAGCTATCATAAACCATTACCATATATAACATTAGCTGATGATTAAATTAAATTTCAGTGAAACATATAAGTGAACAGTATTTAGATAAGGCTAAAGAGGTCTTTGTGGCATTTATGGATTTGGAAAAGGCGTATGACAGGGTGGATAGGGGGCAATGTGGCAGATGTTGCAAGTGTATGGTGTAGGTTACTGAAAGCAGTGAAGAGTTTTTACGAGGATAGTGAGGCTCAAGTTAGAGTATGTAGGAAAGAGGGAAATTTTTTCCCAGTAAAAGTAGGCCTTAGACAAGGATGTGTGATGTCACCGTGGTTGTTTAATATATTTATAGATGGGGTTGTAAGAGAAGTAAATGCGAGGGTCTTGGCAAGAGGCGTGGAGTTAAAAGATAAAGAATCACACACAAAGTGGGAGTTGTCACAGTTGCTCTTTGCTGATGACACTGTGCTCTTGGGAGATTCTGAAGAGAAGTTGCAGAGATTGGTGGATGAATTTGGTAGGGTGTGCAAAAGAAGAAAATTAAAGGTGAATACAGGAAAGAGTAAGGTTATGAGGATAAAAAGATTAGGTGATGAAAGATTGGATATCAGATTGGAGGGAGAGAGTATGGAGGAGGTGAACATATTCAGATATTTGGGAGTGGACGTGTCAGCGGATGGGTCTATGAAGGATGAGGTGAATCATAGAATTGATGAGGGAAAAAGAGTGAGTGGTGCACTTAGGAGTCTGTGGAGACAAAGAACTTTGTCCTTGGAGGCAAAGAGGGGAATGTATGAGAGTATAGTTTTACCAACGCTCTTATATGGGTGTGAAGCGTGGGTGATGAATGTTGCAGCGAGGAGAAGGCTGGAGGCAGTGGAGATGTCATGTCTGAGGGCAATGTGTGGTGTGAATATAATGCAGAGAATTCGTAGTTTGGAAGTTAGGAGGAGGTGCGGGATTACCAAAACTGTTGTCCAGAGGGCTGAGGAAGGGTTGTTGAGGTGGTTCGGACATGTAGAGAGAATGGAGCGAAACAGAATGACTTCAAGAGTGTATGTCTGTAGTGTAAGGAAGGTGGGGTAGGGGTCGGCCTAGGAAAGGTTGGAGGGAGGGGGTAAAGGAGGTTTTGTGTGCGAGGGGCTTGGACTTCCAGCAGGCATGCGTGAGCGTGTTTGATAGGAGTGAATGGAGACAAATGGTTTTTAATACTTGACGTGCTGTTGGAGTGTGAGCAAAGTAACATTTATGAAGGGATTCAGGGAAACCGGCAGGCCGGACTTGAGTCCTGGAGATGGGAAGTACAGTGCCTGCACTCTGAAGGAGGGGTGTTAATGTTGCAGTTTAAAAACTGTAGTGTAAAGTACCCTTCTGGCAAGACAGTGATGGAGTGAATGATGGTGAAAGTTTTTCTTTTTCGGGCCACCCTGCCTTGGTGGGAATCGGCCAGTGTGATAATAAAAAAAAATATATAAATTAAGAAAAAATTCTAAAAACTTATATCTCATATATTAACATTTATAGCATAAATGAGGCAGGGGGAAAGTTCGTAAGTATCCTGAGTAAGCCTCAAGAATTTAGCTTCTACCTGCTGACCTTCTGTCACTTCTAGGAGTCATGACCCATGTGATTCAGTCCTAGATCAGACCTCCTAAATCACTTTATAGGCTGTTGGTGCTAGCAGCAGGCATTCTTGACAGCAAGAGTTATCAATAAAACTTGGTATATTTTATATCACAGTAATACAGTTTTTTTCCCTCTCACTTTCTCGTTCAGTATAAACAGAAAATAATCATAAAAACAATTTGAGCCTGTGATTAAGAAATAACATTTTAGTTGCCAGGTGACCTATTGCTTGGTAGGAAATGCACTTACTTCACACACTGAGTGTCCGTGGTCCAATCCCCAGCCGGGTGGATTATTATTATTATAATCATGGGGGAAGTGCTAAACCCATAGGATTATACAGCACCTGGGGGGAATGTGGAAGGTATTCAGGCTTAATTCAGGGAACTGGAGCACAGATCCAATTCCCTAGATCAAGAGCCCCTCACCGGCATCAAGGAACCTTCCTCGAGGGGTGAGCCAGGTGGAAATGTTAGGTATGTTCCCTTACACCTGCTGTCCCTGTTCACCTAGCAGTAAGTAGGTACCTGGGTGTTGGTCACCTTACACCTGCTGTCCCTGTTCACTTAGCAGTAGGTAGGTGCCTAGGTGTTAGTCGATTGGTGCGAGTCGCATCCTGAGGGACACAATTAAAGGACCATAATGGAAATAAGACAGACAGTCCTCGATGATGCACTGACTTTGTTACCCATGGTGGCTAACCTTTCCCCTGGTTAAAATCCCAACAAATCTTATCTTAGCTATCTTTCTAGAGTAAAAAAATCACTAGTTTTTCTCTAAGCAAAGCAAATAACTTTACTCTGTTACTCCATTACTAAGAAGTAACTTACTTTATCGTGCACCTTGATAAACTTAAGACATACACAAAAGAGTTAAGTAACAAAGGAGGATTTTATTATTATTATAATCAAGGGAAAGAGCTAAACCCGTATGATTATACAGCGCTTGGGGGGGATGTGGAAGGCATTCAGGCTTAATTCGGGGAACTGGAGCACAGATCCAATTCCCTAAATCAAGAGCCCCTCACCAACATCAAGGAACCTTCCCTGAGGGGAACAAAGAAGGAACTATGGAGGATATGTGTGAGGCTTGCGAGAATGTACCAGCCACAACGCCATCGTGACAGGTCTGCGAACCTTCATCCACTCTGCCCCAGGCGATCAATAAGTGTATTTTTTCACCTTATTTTACACCTTTATTACTATCTTCCTTGTGTTTTTGAAAGGTACACGAGACGCAGCTATTCTTACCTTAATACCACAACACTGAACACCGCAATCCTAGGGATAAACGCGGGTGAGAAAAAGGGATAAATAATCCAGGAGCGATGTAAAGGCAGTGCTCACACTACGGCGCTTGGCGTCGCTTTGTTTATTAGAGCCAGCGTGGAGGCATCAGCTGTTCCTTGTTTACAGGTATGACGTCCAAACCAGCACGACTTACCATTGGTTAGCTGGGTATGACGTCACAATCAGCGCGACTTACCATTCGTTAACTAGATATGACGTCACAATCAACGCCGCTTTCTATTGGTTAGCTGATGTACACATGTCCTTTTAATGTGACGTCACAAACAACGTTGTTTCCCATTGGTTAACCTATTCTATTGTGCTTTCTGATTGGTGGTCCGTCATCTGGAGGCGACGTTGCCACCTCACCATTCACCATTCTCTTTCGGGGCTTTAAAGCTGATGTGCCACATCTACATAGTTTATTAAAACCTATTCAGTTAGATAATATATGACTCCATGGAGTGTAGGTATACAGTAGCAAGAGTGTTGCAACCAAGAGCTGAATGAAGATTTAAAAGTAAAGCTTCCATAAGTAAAAGAAATTAACTAAGAGCTGATAATACAACGCAGTCATACGCCCTTGACGCGATTTATGTAGAACGCATAATACTCCAATAATTTACGTATGAATTTTACCTGGCTATATATTTAAGCTAAATAGAGACACGCATTATTTCTTATTGCTACTCAGCGTTAATTTCCCCTATATTATTACGTAATATGGCTATTATGTTCTCAAAGAAGAGAAATGGAAGTCAAGGTTTAGGAAATATACTAGATGGAGCATTGAGTGAGAATGGAGAGTGAGGGAAAGTAATGAGGAGGTAACATAGATGGTTGTAGATGCTTCTAGCAAGATGAGAGGGTCTAGCCGGGCACCTAGGTAAGACCCCAATGGAAACAAGACTGACCTGAATGGAAATAAGTCACTTTGTCTTTTTTGGGGGTTATCCTAGGTAATTTACACACATATTACTTATGTATGATAATTTGTGTAAGTCCATTTATGAGTACGTATACTTTAAATAAACTTGCCAGGCTCCAGAGCTAAGTAAGACCTGCTGGAATGTTACTTACATAGCTACGTCGCATATCCCACCTGCACACCAGTCTCTTCAAGGACAGACCCCATGGCTCTTGATCCAAGGAATAAGAGTTATCCTCCATTGATTGCTTCCCGTTGCGTATAATGGTCCTTTCCAGCAATTGCCTTAATGCTGAGAAATGGCTCTTGATCTATGGATTTGGAGCTGC